CCAGCACCCCGCCCCCATCCTGCCAGCACCCCACCCCTGTCCGGCCAGGTTTGCCTCACCGGAACATTGCCCTGCACTCACTTTGTGGAGTAGCCCTTTATAAGGAAAACTGGGTTTGCCTCACAGGAACATTGCCCACTTTGTTTGTAGAACACAAGGCTCATCATCATGGATGTTTTTAAATAAATGCTAACAAAAACTTTGCAGTTACATAGAATAATAATCAATTAAGCTAAATATTTAATTGCTAAGTAGTCAATACAGTATATAATTTGAGGTATGAAATGAACAGATGCCCGCCAAGCCACGATTCGGACGCGTGCTCCAGTTGTTGTTGGAGATCCGTTCGCTTCTTTTCCGTTCGTTTCGCTTTACTTTTCGGCGCTCTTTAAAAACATAGCTCCGCTTTCTTGTTAGACAGTTTTGTACAGTCAGCTGCAGCGTCTGAGCTGCCCCTCAGCTCCTCTGGCTCTCCGTGACCATAAGAGCCAAGACTCACGTCCCCCGTGACGTCACGGGCACACCCTCCATTTCGGGTTGCTCCCTCATACCAGGCCCTCTCCCGCCTCCTCATCATTACAGTCCGTTTTTGTTGCCCTGCCTCGGCCCCCTTTCCGTTGCCCTGTTTATGCTTATTTTCTTTCCTTTAGGTTCTCCCATGCCATCCTCCCTATCCAGCCCATCAGCTGCCAGGCATTCACTTTCCCAACCTCCATCACCCAATCTCCATGACAACCAGAGGCCGTTGCTAAGTAATGACAGCACCCAGCCGGTTCGAGGCTCAGATTCGGATGAAGAGTTCACTGCCCGTGCGTTTATCCCGGTAGCGCAGGCGGGCCGGGGCTCTGCCACTGATGGTAAGGCCGCTTTCAATCTCTTTCTTTTAGGGTGCGATTGTGCACACGCCGCGTGACCCCTTATCGGAGGAGCCATGCTCGCTGCATGAGGATTATACCTTGGGCACTCAGCCTATTCTGTACGGACGGGCAAGTGCATTACAATTAGCAGGATCATCACGATTCAACGTCAGAGCGATTACTGTCCTGCAGATTAACGAGCCATGGAGGCTTCGGTGACCTGTAATGTGGTTGGTACCGACACGTACCCGCCGTGCTACGCCGCTGAGCATGGAGCACACCTGCATCACAGAGAGCATGCTCTAGCTCTTCAGGAAGTCTGCTTCTTCCTTTACTCTAAGCATATGATAGACATGCAATGTGACGGTAATGTTTACACTGTTGTCAAATGGTACAGACAGAGCACTTTTTTTTAGGAAATGGGCCTTTTATGTACATCTTAATGGAACGTTGCTGGCTGCTGAAAGGGCACTTTAAATACTAGTATGACTTTCAGCTTTGCTGTGATGTAGATCAGCACAGAAACGTCTGTACAGGCTGCAGCTGGATGAGCGAACGTGGGAAAAGCAGCGAGTCTCACCCAGAGAACGTCTCACCCAATGAATGTCTCACCCAGAGAAAGTCTCACCCAATGAATGTCTCACCCAGAGCATGTTTCCCCCAGAGCACCTCTCACCCAGAGCACGTCTCACCCAGACAGCGTCTCACCCAGAGCACGTCTCACCTAGACAGCGTCTCACCCAGAGCACGTCTCACCCACAGGGCATGGCTCGGCTGCCGCCTATGCACGTTGTGGCCCTGATTAGCGGGCTCTCACCGACAGAGTGCCCTTCCTGACGCGCTGTCGCCTCATTTAAGCTTCAGACGGAGTCGTCTGAAGTGGCAGCTGGGTTCTGGCTTCACTTTGCCTGCCGTCTGGATCCTTGAAGGCTGTGCCGCCTGCTGGACTTACTGGAGCTTCCGCAGCAGGCTTTGTCCCCACATACTGTGGGATATGGGTGGAGTGGACATTTTGGCAGAATAGCCCCCTCCAGCAGCCTGGCTAGCAGCAGAGAGTCAGTACTGCCAGAGAGAGAGAGATAACGGCCTGCGAGGCGATGCTCGTGCCGCCGGTCTCCCCTCCTTCAGGGTTTGCTCGTTAAGGATTTGGCTCGTTAAGGAGTTGGCTCGTTCCTTAAAGGCCTGCATATGCGGCTGGTTTCCATTCAGTTCCATGCATGACCTGTAATCAAACATGCAATCAGAGGCCAATTAGCGGGGGAAGCGATCCAGGCCCCTCAGCCACACACTGATTCCACGGGGGTGGGGGGCAGGACCAGTCCCAGGGGGCCACACATCTGTATGGCCGCACATCAGTAAGGGGGGGCCCAGTTAACTGCAGCAGTATCCTATCCAGAGCGGCGGGATGTGACGATGGATGCCTGGGATTCCCATAACACCGGCCCTCTCTCTGAGAGCCAGACTTATACGGCACCAGTTGTCCTGCTCAAAAACTTTGGAATTGATGAGAGCTCCCCCCAACGTCCTAAAATCACATGACTGCATGGCGGCTCTGGTGACACGATCTGGAGGCTCAAAGTGATGCTGCCAGCCTGGTTGGGGGGGGCGAGGTGAGATGCCCAAGCTTCTTAGGTCTGGCCCCATCTGCTGCAGTGGTAGGCCCCACTGAGGCACAACCCTGCATGTATGACCACGCGGTCCAGAGTGTGAGCAATCTGACCGATGGGTGGGTGGGGGGGGTTTGGCTGCTTTTTCTGATCCAGAAACACAGCGCCAGTGTCTCCGGGGGTCCGTGTGATCAAACCAGCACTGATTCTAGTCAGAACATCAGATAAAACCCTGTGCGACGCCCCCCGCCCCCTTAATGGCGTATCACAGACAGGCCAGACGGCGGGGTGAAGGCCCCTGCAGCCTGTACACCGTGCGGCCGGCTGGGGGGGGGGCCTGGACCAGCTCGCTGCCAGGGGTATTCAGGCAGTCTGTGTTTTTGGACATGTGAGAATCCAGTAAAAGTGAGTAATTACTGATTAGTCACACATGGAGCTTGCCTCCCATCGCCTGTGTGAGAGCCTCTGTGTGTCTGTGTGCCTGTGTTTGCCTGTGTATGTCTGTGTGTGTGTCTGTGTATGTCTGTGTGCCTGTTTATCTCTGTGTTTGCCTGTTTATGTCTGTGTGTGTCTGTGTGCCTGTGTGTGTCTGTGTTCCTGTGTGTGTCTGTGTTTGCCTGTTTATGTCTGTGTGTGTCTGTGTGCCTGTGTGTCTCTGTGTTCCTGTGTGTGTCTCTGTGTATATCTGTGTGTGTGTCTTTGTGTGTGCTTATGTGTGTTTGTGTGTGTGTCTGTGTATGTCTGTGTGCCTGTTTATGTCTGTGTTTGCCTGTTTATGTCTGTGTGTGTCTGTGTGCCTGTGTGTCTCTGTGTTCCTGTGTGTGTCTCTGTGTATATCTGTGTGTGTGTCTTTGTGTGTGCTTATGTGTGTCTGTGTGTGTCTCTGTGTATGTCTGTGTATGTCTGTGTGTCTGTGTGTGTGTCTATGTGCCTGCATCTGTGTGGCTTTGTGTCTGTGTGTGTCTGTGTGTCTGTGTGTGTCTGTGCGCGTCTGTGTGTGCCTGTGTGTGTCTGTGTGTGTCTGTGTGTGTTTCTGTGTGTGTCTGTGTGTGTCTGTGTGTGTTTCTGTGTGTGTCTGTGTGTGTCTGTGTGTCTGTGCGTCTGTGTGTGCCTGTGTGTGTCTGTGTGTGTCTGTGTGTGTCTGTGTGTGTTTCTGTGTGTGTCTGTGTGTGTCTGTGTGTGTCTGTGTATGTCTGTGTGCCTGTGTGTTTCTGTGTGTGGCTTATCTGTCTGTGGCATCGCGCTGCATAAAGTGCAAGAAAACTACAGCTTTTCCTGAGAATTTGGATAATAACAGTAATAGTTGGAGGGCTGCTTGGATTCGGGGGGGGGCACAGCCGCCTGCTCTCTGCTCTCGCTCATGAGGAGCAGGTGCCTGTCATGCCTGGCCAAACAGCCCATCAGACGGGCTCCGCCGGTGCCTCCTGACGCCGCTGTCTGATTGTGCCGTCTGATCTCCTCGCCCCCCCCCCCCCCAGCTGACCACGGCACACCGGGTGGGAGACAGACAAAGCCGAGATGATTTTTATACTCTGTATTTAACACGCCACTCGCCTTTCCCCACAGTTATGGAAGGGCAAACACAAAACGAACATCCACGCCGCTGAGCGGTTGCCGTGACGCTGTTTGATTAGGCCACTGTCCGCTAATTGCCGGAAGCCTCCGGAGGGGCCAAGCGTGCCGCCGCGTCCCCGCCCGGCCCCCATCGACCACACCAGTACTCTGCTTTTACTTCGTCAATATTTAAAAAGGCCTCCCTGCCAGGGAATCGCACACCGCTTCCATTATAAATGTCATAACCGCTGATATTTACCCTCCATGCCAAGCGGCTGTTCATGTGACTCAGGCCCATGGCTCTCTCTCCTCTTCCAATGTCAGATTCTATATATTTTAATTTATTTTTTATAAATGTTTCTGGTGGCTCTGAAAGGTATCAGGTTTGTTCTGCGAGGTGCAGACGTGCAGGCTGCCTCTGGGGGGCGCCCCTGCACCCATCACGTCCCACCTCCCCTGATCGCATGACCCAAGGTTTCTGTTTTTCTTCTATTCAAAAGGTCATTTTCTGCCGAAACTTGAAACTCAATTAGCTGTTGAGTTTGGGGGGCCGGGGGGGAGGGGGTTACCTGAGACTCCCGGCGGATGGCGGACTGGTCCGGCAGCACTGGGGTCCTCTGCAGCCAGCAGGTGGCGACATCCTGTCCGCCCAGCTCGGGGGCACGTTCGGGGGCACGCTCGGGGGACGTGTGGATCACAGGAATGACCAAAGACAGTGACCACATGTCTAGACAGCTCATCACCCCCTAAGGCAACATGGCTGCTGACTGCAGATCGAGTGAAGTTAGGATCTGCACCTGCGGGGGGTGGAGGAGGGAATTCGAACCTGCAGCTTGGGGGTCACTGACATTAATCTCGCTGCAGATAAAGGTCATACCTTTAGGGAACAAGGTGGCTTTGCTCCATCCGGGAGAAACGTCATCCTGATGGAAGGCAGTGGCATTCCCAGGGCTGGGGGGCGTCCTTCGTATCCACAGCACCAGGTCTGCTATTATGGGATTGCAGCCCGTTGGGAGTCATATTAAGATCACAGAGTTTTGCTTGATGCCAGCTTTGGGTAATTATAGCCTGCCTTTATAAATGGCAGGCCAGGTGGAGACGTGAGGCTCGCAGTCCGCCACGCAACACACGTCATGGGCCTGGGAGACGGCGTGTGATCCTCCGCCGCTGCCTCTGATCGCTCCCGACCTCCGGGGGACCATCTGTGGCCGAGTGTCTCGCGGCGGGTTTGATTAGTCAGTCGTAACTCGGGTTAGAGGGGGTAAGTAAAGGTTTTCATTATTTTTGACAGGGTTTGATTATTCTCTCACAAGAGCGCTGGTCCAGCATTAACAGCAGCTGGAGAAGCTGCAATGACATCACTCCCCTTCCCCACCAGCCAGGGGCCAGCTTTGTGTACTTTGGGGGTTGTTTGAGGTTGGGGGCGGGGATCTGGAAAGGGGGGCTAAGGAGCCTGGCCTGGAATGGGGGGGGAGTCGGCAGGTGACACGTTTGCCCCTGGAGGGGGGACTGTGATGCTGATTGCAGGATGTTGGAACTCGACCCAAGTGCAGAATGCCAGCAAGTCCCACAAAGTCAGAGCGATGACTGGGTCCCGGCGGGGGCGCGGGCTCCAGACAGGGCTCCGTGTGGGCCTCCGTCTGCACCGGTTGGCCGCTGGGTTGGCCACACCCACCGCACGCCCGTGCTCACACTCAGCGTGACTCCCATGCACCCAGCTGCAATCTGCACTGTTTCATGCGGGATCGCATCATTTACAGCTTGCTGAGTCACAAACGGCCCTGCTTTTTACAGCTGGGGTTCGGTTTTATGTGCCAGCCACATGAGCGCGTGGGTGTA